GACAGAGGGGCAGGTTCCCCTCAGGCCGTGCTGCTGCGCCCGCCGCGCGCTCCCTCAGAGCCTCGCTGCTGAGCATAATGGGTTTTCTCCTTGCAGAGCGTTCCTGTTAGGATTGCTTCCATAAAGACATGACCACACAGGTAAATAAATACGCAGCGTTAGTCAGACTAATTGCTAGCTTGGTGTGCTTTTTTAGGCTGCTTATACGTAATACTATTTTTTCTTTCTAGTACGGTATTCTCTTCAAGCAAGAGCAAGGTGAGAAACCACTAACATGTATTAAATAATATTGGTCTTCTTGGATGGTGGAAAATTGATAATACTTGTGATTATGTGTGTATTAAGTATAAATCTGAGTAACTCAAAACTAGCTATGCTGTTTTCCCAGCAGTGGCCAAAATCTATCATGTGTTTTGAAACCTTGGAAATAGTGACAGGGCTCTTGGAACACTGGTAGACCTGAGGAGCAAGGGGCCCCTTGCCAACATTGCAGTCAGCAATTTTAGCATTACCAAAACAGGTAGTTGTCTTCCATCAAAAGAAACCACTTATTTTTTAAAAATTCCTATGCTTATATTCTCTTTTAGCTCATGATGATGCTATTTGGTCAGTGGCCTGGGGAAAAAATAAAAAAGATGGTTCCGAAACAGTGATCTCTGGTTCTTTGGATGATCTCGTGAAAGTCTGGAAGTGGTGAGTGAAGTGCTCCAGATCAACCGGTTCTAAGCCTGGGGAGTAGGCAGCATGGAGATACAGCAGTCTTGATTTCCCATAACCAGGAGGGATGTTAGAAGTGACATCAGGGAAGGGGCAGCCTGGCATGCAGAGCTGTTCTCTTGAGCAAGCTCATCTTCGTTGGCACGTGCTTTCTCTCGGGGCAGGATCAACCCCGTGTGCTTTAGCTTTCAGGGAACTGAAACCCTTTTGAAAATGCATATCAAGTTTTACATGTCATCTGCCAGAGAATAGTACAACTTGGTGCATTTCTAAACCAAAGAATTAGAAATGCAACTTTTTAGGAGGCAGTGCATTGGGAGCACGTGTACTGTGAAATAATGGGAACAGAGTAAAAAAGGAAATGACATCTTCCTTTTTTAAAAACATAACAATCCTCATAATCCTCATACAAGTGACACCGAAGTGTGCTTTTGCAAAGAAATTGTTGTATCTCATAGCCAAAGCAGTGTTAAGAATGTGCTTCACATTAACAACATGAGGAGATCTGCTGTAGCAATTCTAAAACTGTTGGCCATGGTGTTTCATGCTTTGCTGACACATTAACTTTCTGCTCTAAGTACCCATGTATTGATGGGTATTGGATGTTTCAGTGAGACTACTCACAGGCTTCAGATGAAGTACATGCTTTGCGGAAATACAGTAAATGAT